GGCCTAGTGGCATTGCCTCCAGCTCCGACTGGTTATCCTCCGGGTTTTCTTTTTGCCAAACGACAAGCCGTGATTTTTGACGTAACGGCGTTTTATCCGCGCCGCCACCACTTGTTTTATCCTCCCAGGGGAGGAACCAGCCGGGGCCAGTAGCCGGGGCTGGTGTTTTTTTGGTGCCACGCTGGCTTATCGGGCGAGGTCGGGCCTTGTCGTGTGCGCCTCTGCGCGGGCGGCGCGCCGGGCCGTCGAGCGGACTCTATCTTCACCGCGCTCGATGGAAAACTCGTCGGGGGGGCATTTGCCGATTGTTTGTGTTGCGTAGGGGTCGGGGAGGCGTTGTAGTGGCGGTGTTAAAGGCGGCAGATTGAAGAGTTTTTTCGTTTGTGGGCGCCTGTTAGGGGTACAGGCGGAAGCCCCGCGCAAATCTTAACAACATGGTCCGTGCACCCATGCTAGAAAGTTTGTGGAAGGGAGAGAGTTGACGGACGAAAAAGTGTGGCCATTGGCCACACTTTTTCGTCCGTGCACTTGTTAAAGCACCGAAATTTGCCAGGCCCGGTTCCGCCCCCCCATCCAAACTGGACCAATTAGAGGCGAGGGGTTTTGGCCGCCGTGACAGTGCTGAAAGTGCGCCGTTGTCGACCTTTTTCCGGGTGGGGCCTCCCGATCGGATGAAGCACGGATCCACATGATGGGAAAAGAGCTGTGGTGGGGTTGCAGTTCGACAAGAAAACACCAATACCAAAAGGCGGAACCTGGTTTCTACTCCAGGTTGGTTCGCCCAGCGCTTCGGGTACAAAAACCACGAGAAAACGGTCATGAAGGACGCGAGGAAGGGAAGAGGAGAAAGCAGTGGCGCCTATACGAGCCGGGCGTCTCAGCAAAGTCCTCAGCCGCGGCCAAGGGTGGTGGCGGTAGTGGCGATGTCGAAATGAGAGACGCACCCAACGAGGCGGCATCGCCGGAGCCGTCGCCGGAGCCCATGGATATCGATGTGCTAGCTCGGCTCCAGGCGCCGATCGGACGTTAAGAATGCGAACGGTGGCGGCAAGGAGCAGACAACGGGGACACCAGCGGATGCGACGCACCAAGCCGAATACGGATTCGCTCGCCAAGTCCTCAGGGAAGCCAGCATCAGCTCCAGCTCCTTAAATATTAGGCCGTACGCGTGGCCCTGAAGCAGATGATGGCGTCTCTAAGGGCAGTCACATTTTCTTGACGGACAACATTAGCCCGCTTCGGGCTGTCGCTGCGCAGAAGAATGGTGGCGGCGGTGTTGGTACTGCCGATGGAACGAGCAGGTCTCTGTCGCCCATAGGCCCGGCGAAACCTGCACAGGGGCAACAACCGCCGCAAATGTTCGCGTCTGAGTCGCTAAAGCACCACTCACCCAGCCGGGCCCCTGCTCGGGTCCCAACAAACGCAGGCTCACGGTGCTTGAGGCGTCAACTGGTAGCTCAATTGCCGGAAATCCATGTCTGGCTGTTGCGGGAGGTACTCTGAAGCAAGATTGATCGGAGGCCGAGGAGCAGGCGCACCAGTAAAGAGCGGTGTTCCCGGGCGTTTGGCTCGGGCGTGGGCATGTTTTCGGCTGGGGCTCACTTTATGCTGCGATAAGGGCGCGCTGTTCGCGGGCGAGGATAATGGTATTCCCCTCCAGTCCGGGGTCCGTTAATAGCGCCTGCTCGCTACTTAAAAGTATCGGAGTTAGGTAACGCACTGCAGTCGGCCTTGCGCACGTGAACCTCTAACCCCCACCCCCATTCGTTGGTTGGGCCTCCGATTTTGCAATTGTTTACCATCCCACCACTGCGCGCAGCACATCGCCTGTCGCCCAGTCTTTCCTGCCCAGGGGCCACGTCCTGATATTGGCCAAGGCACGCGCCCGCATCGCGCTTGCCTTGCACAACTCGTCGGCACCTCCCATTTCCCGGTGTCCCCTCGTCAAGGCCACGACCGCTGCCAAACGACCGGCGCCCCCATTTCCCGGTATCCCATTCAAAGGCCGGGCGAGGTTCCTTCGATTACAACCGACGGCTGGGGAATTGAGCCAGAAGCCGATATTACAGTTTCATGCAATGGTATATTCAAAAGCTCAGAGGAAACGAGTATACCTTTCTTGGAGGGCGGTTTTCTCGTCACACGGTCGTTATTATATGCGGAACGCCAAAGCCATCCGCAAGGTCGTTCAGCAGCATCGGCCAGGTGCACTTTCGAACCAGCACCTTGTTAAGATCTTGCAGTCACTACTGGAAGATAATATATTTATCGGTCAATATTGGGCTCAGCAAGCCTTCCCCGAGCTATTCCCCTCCGCGAAGGAAAAATCGCCACCGCCGCAACTTCTCCACTCCCGCACCGAGGCCAGTCCACTTGCAACCATGGCACCTCTCTATTCCTCTCTGCGGGCCATGGCAGACATGGAGAAATATTCCGACCTTACGATAACTTGTCAGGGCCGGGTCTTCCACGTCCACCGCATCATCCTCTGCTCTCAGTCCAAGTTTTTCGAAAAGGCTTGTGGAGGACCTTTCAAGGTACATCACATCCAACTCCAGCTTTCCGCCCAAGGTTGGCTAGACGGCCTTACCAGACGGCTTAAACACCGCATATAATTCCAAATCCCAAAACTGGACCAGTACGCTTAATGCTAACGCGCTTAACAGGAGGCATCCACCAACACGATCGATCTGCCGAGGA